GGGATAACTTTAACAAAAGACAATAGGCTGCATAGCAAAATTAAAAATATTTCAAACCATTAATGAATTAACTCTCAATTACCTCGAAGAAGTACCTAACAGAGTTTCCTTTGTCTCTTTTGTCACACTAAAATGAGGCTAAAAAACAAAGTTAGCCCCAGTTCTGTGGCAGATCCATGGGACAGTCACCATCAGGACTTCAAAGCCTCCTGATTGCCAGTGCATCACTCACTCTCCAGCCCATCTTGGTCTCTGCCTGTGACAAAACTAGCAGCTGCTTGCAAAAACAAGCTGAAGGACAGAGATAACAGCACCTGAATGCTACATAAACAAGGGATTGTAGTAGCTCTCTCTAATAATATAAACCAATTATGTTCTTCTGGCTCTGGCTTCCATCTTAAAAAGAATTAGTCAAAGGGTTATGTGGCATTAGGGAATTAGCCTTTCACCCCTGAAAAATGTAAGTTCAAATATTAGTTGAGGTCATGAATGAAAATCAGTTTCTTCCATTCCAGCCTTGTGCTTATATATTACAAAAACACAACAAAAATTGGCAGAACAGGATTGGAATAACAACTGCAGCTTGTGCACATGTATACACATATATATATTATACCTGTATACTATATACATATAGTATACAAAGTAAATATATACATATATGTACTTATACTAGAGAATGGGGAAGGTGGAATAGAAGAGCATGTTTAGAGATAAGATGGCTTTGAAATGTGTTGAAATTTGACACTGAATCCGAATCAGGAGATCCAATGTTTGATTTTAGTCCTGCGATGACCCCTTGGAGTAATCTTTACCAAGCAAGAGTCCCCTTTAATCCTCTAACACTGAAATATCTCATCTAAGCTAGTCCTCTAAGCTCCTCTTTAGTTTTGTCAGGAAGACAGGCACAACGTTATCTATGCCACCTACCTTCCACACCTATCCAATGATCACAGCGCAACAAATGTACACAGTCCTCTGAAAGCAGAGCATGCTCTCTCTCTCTCTCTCTCTCTCTGGTTGAGATGCACACAACCTAAATCCCTTCCTGCTCTCAATCTTCATTTTGTCCCATTTATTGATTAAAGATTTAAAAAAATGTGACTCTTTTTATTCAAAATTCACAGTAAAAGGATCCTGTTGTGGGTCATGGAAATTCCCTGTGAGAATGACAGATCTTATTTAATGAGCAATTTCCAACAGGAAAAAGGGTTGGAAAATTATGGACAACGAAATAACCTTTCCCCCACTAAGGTTTTGATTTCTACATAACTACAATATTTCAGTGGAAAAGATGAAACCCAAACCAGAAGATGTTACTAAGTGAATCTTCTGTTCCTACACAAAAGTCAGATTCTTCTTGATTAAAGGAGATACACCTTTTCTGTACAGGCTCATGAGAACAGTGGACTACCAAACAGGCTTCCATTTAAACACTGGTTGGGCTTGAATTGACATACAGATATAGAGAGAAGTGTATAAAAAACCCCAGAATTTTATAGAAATGGAAGTGGTGTAAAAGTCCAGACTCCAACCTCTGCCATAGTGTACACTGTAAAACAGGGAGTTCAAACTAAGACAGTTAAAAGTAGGAATGCAATTCAGAGATTGTGCATTTTAGCTCCAAATGACCTTTGGTCTTGTAGAAGCATGTGCTGACATAACAAATATGGAAGAGACATAATTTCTTCTTCTATTCTACTAGAATACCTAATTTTCAAGAGATTTTGCCAAAACAATCCTCTCTCCTGACGTGTCATTCATGCCTGTGAAAAGTTTTGACTTCTGTGACTAATTAAAGTCCTTTCAGAAAATCAAATCAACAAATCACAGAAAACAAAGTACTTGAATGTATCTCTAGGAAGCAGTCATTTGTCTTCGGAATGAAAAGAAGAAAAATAAAAAGACAAACGAGGTTTCAGCCTCGGGCAGCAGTGATGCACGGAATACTTGATTGTTCTACCATACAGGCAAATTCCTGGTCTTATCCTGGAACACAAATAGAGTTGGCCTTAGAAAACTTAGATTGCTTTCAAAAAGAAACACAGAACACAGTTAATTTTCCTAGATATAGAAGAAAATTTCCCCAAACTTAAAAATATAAAGGTATTAATGATCCAACTGTGAAGAATATATCCCTTTCTTTGAGATGGAGAGTTTTCTGTAACAATGAGTTATTTCAGATTTGCCTCAACAATCAATAGGCTTAAACATGCATTTCACTTTCAAAGAGAATTTAATTCATTTCAAATTAGGCTACTAAAAAAATGAGTAAGAACATCCCTAGATTGTTTATTGCAGTTTAATCAATCATTTTACAAAGCAAACAAGATTACCTTTTATAACATCATTTTATTGATATCTGTAAATAGTAATTCAGATTTATGTTACTGACATAAATGAAGAGAGTGGGAATTCAGAGCAGACTAATAACCTGCTCTTTACAGGTTGCTGAGGCGGGAAAGGTACCATTTTTATTCCTACCTACTTGTTTTTCTACTGTCAAATGCCAGTGGAGCCACAAAAGACAGACTGTTGTTACAAAGCCAGCAACACTTATTCTGTTTCACATTTTGTAGCAGACTCATACTTCAGGCCAAGCTCAGGCCATAGCTTTCTAATTTTTCTCTAAATCACCTGACACACTTTGGAGAGTTATAAAACAAAGTGACTGATGATACCTAACAATTGTGTGTGGCAGGGAAAATATATAGCGTTCCTCTTGTGGGGACAAACTGCAAACCTGGATAATGCCAGGAGTAAAGTCTACCTTGAAAAGTCACATTTATGCTTAGGGACAGTTTAAGCTTTTAACAAACAGCTGAAGATAAATCCTGTAGTAATAACAGACAACAAAATGGTACATTTCTCCTGAAAGCGCTTATATAGAGTCTGGAAAGATGCCCAGAAAGAGTCTCAGGCATGAAAATAAATGATGTGTACGTTTTCCATAACAAGTCCATAAGTCTAGAGTAGTACATAGATAATGGGCAGTGAGAATAACAACTTCCTGAAAAGGGGAATCAGAAGAGAGGCAGATAAAGGGAAAGACTAACGCAAAAACTTTCCTTAGTTGTAGATTATTATTCACTAGCAAAAAATCCTCCTTTGCACTGATGAATACAGAATATAGGCATTTCCTTGGATAAACTTCCTTTTAAAGATCTGAAGAAAAAGAAAAACCAAGTGAACTTTCACTTCCATCAAGAATGAGCCTGTTCTGTCAAGTGTGTAATTATTATTTTCCTATGGCAGAACTGCAGAATAACTATTCAGGAGTGATAATTCTCAGAAGACAGTTTTCTCTTTGGTTCAAGCCACGGAACTATGATAACTCCACCTGTAGTTTGAAAAGGATCATGATGTCTTACATACTGCCTACATTAAACAGAGATCATCTGATGTGTGGTGTGTTTTTTTTAATTGGTGCAAATACGAGTGGTGCAAAAATCCACATGCACACTTCTATGTTTATTCCAACAAAGACTACTTTAGTATATCTGAAATTGATTAGGAATACATTTAAATTAAAGAACAATAAACTACTTCTAATTTGAAAGGAAGTCCACACAGTAATTTGTAGCACTTAGATTACACCACTTCACATTTGTGTAGACTCAAGTCACAAAGAAGCAGTGAGCCATAATAAGTTATTTGCTGTTAGAAAGCACAGAAACTTGCCCTGTTTTTCCAAACTGACTCCACAAGGCAGGTTGTCTCGAGATCTAATTCTTGAAAAACTGTGGAGCGTACCTTTCTCTGTGTTGAACAGGCACAAAGAGGACTAATCCAGCCACACAGTAACCTCTGTGGCAGCTGTAGCTCCTGCATCATTCTCAAAAGTGGAGCAAAACTTGGAAGCAGGACAACGATACAGTGTGGCCTGGATGGCCTGAAAACAATGCAAAGTAGGGCACAAAACCCTTCCGAGTTACGTCTGCCGAGAGCAGCCCTAATTGCCAGCACACGCTACGTGAACCCGGTGATCCACTGTCAGTGATGACGGCGATACAGAGGAACGTGGTAGCTATGCCTACAAGCCGGGCACGGAGACACGCAGGCTCTGCCCTCCTCTGTTGAATGCAACCTGTTTATTTACTTAGTGCAAATGAGCATAAGGCATCTGCCACTTTTGGGGGTCCCAAAGGAAACTGCATGTTTCCAGGGTAGTTTCAGAGTGAAGCCCACCGATGCCCCATTGTCTGCTCCTGCAGCTTAAAAGGAAAATCCCTCGAAACGCGCACGGTTTCCCAAGCCGACACTGATGCGGGCACGTCCCGTCCGCGGCGTTCGCTGTTATCTCCTCACGGGCACTGCCCTTCGTCTCGACCAGACAGACTAGACTGCTGTGTTCAAACACGAGGCACAAGGCCACGGCGATGGGAGCGTAAAAGCTCTTCAGATCCGTAGCCAGGCCGACGGGAGCAATGTACCAGGACACTGCTGGAGGCAGTGAGGGTGGGGGAAAGCGGGGGACCTGGCCTTGCGCTGCCGGGAACACCGCGGTCCGAGCCGCAGGGGAGGGGAAAACCAACCACACACCCCCTGCCCGAACCAACACACAAACAAACAACCCCCAAGCAAGCATTCTTCCCGCGGCGGGTGGCGGATGTTCGCGGCGGAGCCCGGGGGCGGGAGCAGCAATGAGGAAGAGGGGCTTCTCCGCCGCTCTCGCCTGTCGCCGCGGCTCTCCCGCCCCCAAGCCGTCACCAGGCTCGGCCGAGCACAACCCCCCACCCCCGGCTACCCGCGGATCCTGCCCCCGCCCTGGCAGCTCCGCCGCCGCCGGCCCCTCCCTCGGCAGGCGGGGCCGTGCCCGCCCCCGGGCTTCCCCCACCGCCCGGGAAAGGGGAGGGGGCGCTGGGTCCGCCCCATCCCCGCCCCATCCCCGCCCTTCCCGGAGGAGCAGCCCCGGCGCGCCCCTTAAAGCCGTTCCCGCCGCCCTCGCGGGCAGAGTCCGCGGGGCTGTCGCCGGGACACGCCGGGACGGGGTGTCCGCGATGCTGGAGAACGGCTCCCTGAGGAACTGCTGCGACCCGGGCGGGCGCAGCCGCCTCGGTCTGGCGGAGAGGGAGGCGGGCGCGGCGGGCTCCCCGCGGCCCGCCTGGGTGGTGCCGGTGCTGTCCAGCGTGCTGATCTTCACCACCGTGGTGGACATCCTGGGCAACCTGCTGGTCATCCTCTCCGTCTTCAGGAACCGCAAGCTCCGGAACTCAGGTAAGGGCTTGACCCCCGCACCCCGCCCCGGCGGTGGCAAGGGGTGGCGAGCGCCGGAGTCCTGCTTTGCACCCATGTCCTGCCGCTTCCAGCTGTCCCGAGGAGTCCAGCCTGCTTGTGGAGTCCGGGCGGGCCGCCTGCTGAATGCGGGGGACCAGAGTCCCCCCGATCTGTGCTTGCCCTCTCGTGTGTGCAGCAACCCCCCAGGCGCTCAGTGAACCCTTTCCAGCGCACCGAGCCCGCGCTCCCCTCGGGCTGCGCTCCGTCCTGCTTGGGCCGGGAGAGAGGAATGCTCTTAATGAAGCATTGTGTGCTCTCTGTGGAGCTCCCGAGGAAGGGGAATCGGTGAGGGGGAATCGGTGCCATCCGCTTAAAATACCGGAGACAAAGAGAGTGTTCAAAACGGTTGGAGGAAAAATGAAGTTCGAGTTTTTAAAACTTGCTCAGAAGTCCTGAAGATGCGGCGCTGTACATGCGCGGGAAAGCAGCTCTACCCTCGCTCTGCAGCCTGCAGCAGAGTTCACAGCAGTCTGTCACGATATCGTCTTTCTTCTTATCTCCTCACCTCATATGCTTCAACCAGAATGCAACAAATAAAGTGGGGTGTTTTCTTTGAATCATGTCTATTGTTTTTCTCTGTGTGTGCTAAAATGGGACGCTGCAGTTTTTATTTGCTAAACTTACTCGCTTCCTCTCCTCATCTCTGCTGGGCTGGTTACACGTGTCTCAAACTATAAAACTGTAGTTAACCACCAACTTCTCGGATTTCCCTCCCGGCCAACCTCCCTGATTCGCGCACCTCTCCCTGCGTTTGGATACTAGACCCCCACCCTCCTCCCACCGTCAGTGGTGCCGGTTGTTCACTGATGCGCAGAACAGGGATGCTGCTTGCCTACCTGCACTCGGGTGCTGGTGGGTGGTGGTGCAGTATAAGGTGGTACTCCCGAAATAGTGGTGTGTCTACTACAGTTCTCGTAGGACCAAGCAGTTCCCGGAACTGTTCCCTCCTCCGGGTCTTGAGTGCCACTCTTTGCCATGCGCACGCAGGTGGGGATAAACCAAACTTTGTGGGGAGCTGAGCGAGGTCCGATATCCAAGCTCCCCTGAACTCTGGGAGCCAGAGGGCTCTGCCGTCGGTCCTCCGGGTGCTCCCCCAGCATGGAGAAGGAGGGGCAGATGCTGACTTGTTTCTCCGAGGAGAGTGTTTGTTTGCGGTTTGAGGGATGGCGGGGGGGAGGGGTTTGTTTTTGTGTTGTGATTTTTTTTTTTGTTTGGTTGTGTTTGTTGTTGTTGTTTTGGTTTTTGGTTTTGGGGTGGTTTTTTTTGACTAGTGTCGCTTCCCAAGCGCTGATGTGTCTTACGTGCGGTGTCTAGAGCTCCTGCTAACTAGGATAACTAGGAAAAGGCGTTCATTCGCCCTTGCTTTAAGTTAAATCATACTTAATGGCAGAAACAGTTTATGGAGGGGTGAATCTTGCTCTCCCACATGGTTGCACCTCTAACTGCAGGCGAGGGATGCCGGCGAGTCCTGTTTACGTGGGGCTGAGCAGTCACAGCCCAAGGACCAGCGCCAAACTTGAAGACGTCTGGAAGGGTTGTCTGAGTGAGGTAGGGAGCTGCCGGTCCTTCGGCTCCTGCTTGGGCTGCACGTCCAAGGGGACCAAGCCGCTACCAAAAGAAGCAGAGCCGTACCGGGGTGGCGGCGCGGGCACACCCCGGGAGCCGGAGCCCCGCGTTCCCCGAGCAGGGCTGTGGCCACGGAGCAGCGCCAGGCGCTGCCCCGGGCGAGCAGAGCGGAGCTGGGGGCAGGGAGTCCCCCACGCTCCCTCGGGACCCCGTGAATCACCAGCGCTCTCTTGGCTCCCTCGGCGCTAGAGGAAGGCGTGTTCCCGAGGGATTCGCGCCTGGGCTCCAGGGGGAGGAAGCACCCGAGGCTCTCGCTGGAGGACGGCCGGGCCGAGGCATCAAGTCCCGGCTGGGGGGCAGCAACACAGGGGCTCTCCTCTGAATCGTTGCTCAAGCTACAGCAGAGGGGAGGGTTTGGACTGGAAGAGAGAGTGATGCCTGGAAGAGTTAAGTTTCAAGATACTGATAAAAGTGCTCTGCGGCATCCTAGGACTTTGGGGGTGGGGGGGCTGGGGTGGGCGGGGTGGAATCTTATCTAACTCAAATGCCCGCTAATTGATCTCCTTCTAGGATCATCCCTAATGTGATGTCACTGACCCTGTCCCAACGATCTCTTCATCTTTGATAAGTACTGTGAAGAACAGCAGGAAAATCCTTCTGCATAGTCTTCATGAGGTTAAATACCTTTTAAATTGCCAGTTCTGAGTTTTAAATCAGGGAGAGATGGCTCTTGGAGGTGAAAGGGAAAGAGGGTAGTTTGGTAAATGTCCACAGAAGTCTTTTCAAGAAACATTTCTTAAAGAGGGAGCAGAATGGAAGAGGACTGCAAACTGATGTGGGTGGAGTGATAGAGGGGATGGGGAAGTGGTGAAAAGCTAAGGCAGTACATGGGAGCCCTTAGCCTCTGACAAGAAAGGAAGATGGAAAATGAGGTCGACTTTCAGTTTTCCTTTCTGAGGAAAACAAGAAATAATATATTTATACTTGCAAGGAGAGTGAATGTAGTAGAAAGTGAAATGATGAGGAAATATGTAACAAAAGGAGTTAGAGCTGTAATAAGAGATGTCAGAGAGGGACAAGATGAAGTTAGCGGAATGGTTGTGACAAGAGACAGGACATCCAGATGATCAAAGAAAAAAGGAAGCGCTATAGCACCATGAGCACCCAGTTCCCTTTGAAGAAGGTAATGAGAGATTTTTCTTGGATAAGGATGAGAATTTGGGACTTCAAATAAGTCACAGGTGTATAAGGAATAAATTAATCAACTTTGCCCACTTCTGCAGTGCAAACACTAATCTTGCCTTCTGAAAGCAAAACAGGGCTTTAGCACTTTTCCAGGATTTATCAACTCTATTCTGTCCTAGACTTTACAGAGAAATCTGATAATTGGAAACAATGTAATTATGCATCACTCTCCTGAAAATTAAGGCATGATCAAAAGTAAATCTATTTTAATGCTGTTATATAATGGGAGGCTCAAGAATGGAGTGAAGTAAAATGACCCATTAGCCTTTAAGCTGGTACATATTATGATCAGCAGGAGAGAAATGGAGAATGGATAGGACTTGCGCTTCTAGACATTGCTCATTCAGTCCTCAAACAGTAGGAATTTTGCCAGCCTTACAACAGAATGATTGATTGTACAGAAGCCTCTTTCCCATGTTTGAATTTGGTTTTAGGGAAAATTTGTGAAGACTCTTCCAAGTAATGCATAGCATAATTGGTATGAATCAATGTGCTTGTCTTACATAACTGCACCCAGTCTTTCTGTGAGAGGCTGCACAACTTCTGATTTAATTTACAGAAATTAATGCTTTTATCAGTTCTAATTTGGGAGGAGAGTAATTTCATCCAACACACTACAAAACGAAATAAAACAATATATGGAAATAACAAAATTAAATTAGCCTATCTTTCTATTTGAAATGTCAAATGTGCTCTGAATTTTCAAAAACAATGATTGATTTTTTGTGTCTTCGATTAAGCATGCCCAGATGAAGACAGCTTTTAAAATGCTAAACTTTTGAAGTGCTAAAGTTTACATGTGTTCAACCGTCACTGCTGGATGATCAAGTATTGTGAAGGTGCATCAAGTCAATCAAAACCACTACATGCTTTTAAGAATTTCAGGATACATTCAAATAGCCATAGCTATAAACATAATGTTATGGAGTGGGTTAAGAACCTGGTAGGAAGCACTCCAGAAGGTGGGAACTGGCAAGGCATCTCCCACAGGACAAAGATAAAGCAAACCATTTATATTTCATTGGCCTTAAAGCCAGCATAAAATCAGTGAGAAGTGAGAATTAGGCACATTAACTCAATATCATTTTAAAGAGTAATGAGGACTTGAGACCCTTTGACTTTTGGAAGAAGGTCTAATATTAGCCTTGGTGCATTGCCAAAGAATACATTAGTGGAAAGTGATATTTTTAGTGCATTTTGTCAGCCTTCTTCACTCTCTGCAGTATTTTCCTTTCTATATATAATAGCTAACACAGCACGATGAGATTCTGATTTCCATTTGAATAGTAAGGTGCTGTTGCAACACAAATGAAATCAAAATTCATGTTTCTTTTACCATGTAAGAACATGTTTAGTTCTTCCTAATGTGTGTGTGACTGTAGAGACAGACAATACTTCTCATAGGTACATCTGTAAAAAACCTCACTATTTAAGAATGTAGAATTCTAACTTTGGTACTCATCTGTCTACTAAATAAATGTGTTCAGCAATATAACCAAGTTCTGTAGTGTTTTTCTATGCTCTTTGCATAGTTCTCACTCCACAACTCTGTGATATAGCTGACAGTAAGTTTTCTCCATTGTTAAATGCTGGGTTTAATTATTCTTCATCTCTTTGGTCACACCAGTTCTCTTTCCCTCTTTTATTCCTCCCCCATAATTATTCCTATCCACTGGCATAGAGGACAGTTGTCTCCTGTAGTGGAATTCATCTCTCAGAAGACTAAATTGAGAAACTTGTTTCCAAACTTCTTCCCTTTGGCTCTCTTTATAATCATTGGAGAAAAATGAGCATTTTCAGGGAACAGTTAACCTAAAAGTTTGTTTTAACACATCTACATTAAGATAGTTGATTCAGTCCAAAAAAGTATTAATGTCTCTCCACTAAAAACAAAGAGAAGCAAGAGGGACTGTCTCAATGTAACCACCTACATTTAGATGGAAAGACATCAAATATGAAGTCAGAAGACATAATGTAATTCTTCTAGTACATTGTCAAGTTTCATTTTTAAAATGGCACATTTTCCTCCTTCTTACTGCCTGTCCTCCAAGAGATCATGTTGATTTAACTAAGACTGACATAAAAAAAAATACCAATACAACTGATTGTTCAATATGCTTCCTGGCTCC